TGACACAGGAAACGTGCTGCAACACGCCTGCTCTCAGAAACACCACCGAGGCATCCTTCACGTTTCTAATGGACATTTCAGAGTACGGTAAACTGACCAAAAAAAAAAAGTCACACCAGTTTTGCTTCAGTGATCCCGAAGGGCAATAATTACATACATGGCATTAAGGTGGTCACAAAATATATTAGAAGAGATCACGCTCCACTGACAGAATCCTCCGAAATAGCGGCTGGGGGAATAAAAGGACCGTAGGCAGGACTACAGTGAGAGAGAAAATCCCATTTACATTTATGAGAGGAGAGCAAAGTTCAGATATTCTGTTTCGGGCTGTATCTAGCATACTACTGCAGGTTAAACAGTCTCCTAGACAAAGATCTTGACAGGTGACTGAAGGAGGAAGACATTTTCATAAGCTTTTAATCTGTAACTTTTAAGTCAGGTCAAAACACATAGCCTAATGCTCATTTGTTAAACTGAAATTTTAGGAAGCACAGCTTAGCTACAGAGAATACATATTCTAATAAAACGTATAGAAAGTATATAAACATGTTGCATTTGTCTCAGCAGAGAACGATGGTGTGGCCTGTTAGTCAGAGGATGCTCTTCACCACTCTAAACCTCGCTCTGCCAACAAAAACAAGTGAAGCCAACTTTCTAAGAACAGAGAAGAACCAGTAAAAAAAAAAAAAAAATCTGTAGTAAGCAGCTTTCTTGTATTCTGATTCAAATGACAAAAACAAGAATGAATTATGATCTGGTAAAAAAATGAAAAGGAAAAATCGGTTCAGGTTTTTTTTTTTTTTCTTTACTCACCAGACAACACCAAAGGCTCCATATCCAATAGGTCTGTCCGGCTCAATATCCAGTTGCTGTTGTGGATGTTGTGAGTGCTGATGATGGTGCGCTTTAACTGCAGCAGCTGCTGCAGCTTGTACCTGAGCTGGGGCTGCTGCAGCTGGTCCAGGGGCCTGACCCGGTGCCGGTGATGGGAAATATGGCTGCTGCTGCCCTGGGTTTAACATTGCCGCGGCCGCGGCCGCAGCTGCCGCGGCCGCAGCTGCCGAAGAGGCATGCTGCTGTACGGGATGTACCGCGGCTGCAGAGCCGGGATGCAAGTGATGCTGAGGGTGGTGGTGGTGATGGAGGTGAGGAGGAGGGAGGTGAGGAAGGTGGTGGTGATGGTGGTGGTGGTGACCTGCTGCTGCTGCAGACGTACCGCCATTGTAAGCCGCCATCATTTTTGCGTTGGCTGTTGTGCCACAAAGAGACATTCAAAAAAATGCCCTTTGATTGGATAACAACTGGGTCAAGCTGTCATTTGGCCATAAAAATGAAATCTGCTACACTTTAAAAGAAGTTGGGTTTCATCATACACGGCCCACCTTTAAAAACATGGAGCTCAACTGGCCTTATCTCTTCGTGAAGCCAAACAATTTGGAGAATCTCTTCATGTGTGCGTGAGCCAGAGTGCACGAACCCTCTTCCCCCAAGAGTCCAGCTGTGGTTGGCTACTGAAACTCCATCCTTGGGCAACTGGGTTGGGTTTTGGTTGGGTTTTTTCCTTCACTTTTTTTGTTGTTTGTTTTGTTGTTTTGTTTGGGTTGTTGGTTTTTTTTTTAAATAAAAAAGAAATACAGTGATCAATCCCCCTTCCCTCCAGGAGGAGGATTTGGAGTCTCTCCCCTGGAACACCCTGAGAGGACTGGTAAGTCTACCCCTTCCATTCCCACATCCTCACCATTTATCTCCTCGGAACCTCCCTGAGCGCCCAGGCACCTCCTACATAGCTCCCTCCTTTCAGACACCTGCTCCCTCAAATATAGCAAAAAAAACTTGGGAGTTTGCAACTTTTCCTTGAAGGCCTGAAACACACACAAGCACCCAGAAAAAGTGAGGAGGGACGGAAGGAGCGGGGGGAGGAGGGCGAGGATAAGGAGGGGGAGGGCAAGAGGGGATGAGGAGATAAAAATAGATGGAGGAAGAGAAAGGGACGGGGCAGAAACGAAAACAGCGGCGGAAGGAGAGGGAGAAGGGGCGAGGAAACAAAAAATGGGAGCGGGGAAAGTGACAAATGAATGACAGGGGAGAGCGCGGGGCCGGGGGATAAAGAGGGGCGAGGGGGGGGGGCGATGGGGGCGGCGAGGGACGGCGGCGGCG